TATTTATTAAATTTAATAAATAATTATGAATAATATTTTAAAAGTCTCATTAATTAGATAAATAAATTACGATAATAAATATAATAAAATATAATCATATTCGATTTATTAAATAATTGAACATAATATTTAATGAATAATTCATAAACGAATTAAATTTTAATTCATTTAAAATTCATAAATTAAATAAATAGATAATAATAATAATAATAATAATAATAATAATAATAAAATTTATTTATACTCAATTAATTTATATCCATGTGCTCTACTCTATTAAAAAAAATAATTATTAACTCGAGGTAACTCTTCTCGTTTTAAGATAGATTGAAAAAGAATTTCTGACTTGTACAATATGAAGCTAATAATATATAATATGATGTCAGATTGGTGTAAGCTTAGGGTGTGCTAACAGACAAAATGGAAGACTTTCACCTATAAAATTTGGCACAAATTAGTGATCCCTTGCATAAGAGAGAGAGAGAGAGAATCAAAAGGGAAGCAAGCCACATGAATCAATGAAAGATTAATGAGAGTGACTCTTTCAAGTACAACGCTGACTTTTGTGGAGTTTTGTTATTTAGATTTTATTATTTGTGTATTTATCTAGTGTTAAATATTAATTATTTATATATTTATATTATTTATTTTATAAAAATTATGTTATAATTTATATCAACATAAAAATATGAAATTTATTTTTTAACTTTGTTAAATTTATATATAATTTTTATTAAAATTTTAAATCATATTATTTTTTATTTTTTATATTATATCATTATCTTGTATTTTAAATTATCTAATTTATTATTATTAATAAGTCATTCTCAAAATGAATATACACAACTAAAAACAAATGCTACTAACAAGATTCAAACAAAATATTATAGATTTTGTTTATGGTCAATGTGTTTTTTGTCGATTCCCCCCCCCCCCCCACAAAAAAAAATCTTCCTTGAAAATAAAATATATATTTCTAAATTAATTCTTAATGAGGAATGTTGAAAAATTATGACACACTTAATTATTTTTAAGATCTTATTGTAAAGGAAGTTGTAATTCAAAGATAAAAAAAAAAAAATTATGTGTTAAGATTTGAATTTTATATCTATTAGATATTATTTTTTAAAAATAATTATATGAATCAAATGAATTGATTCTCGAATTCAAAAAATATTTAAAGGTTAATAAAATGGAGCATGTCAAAGCTAACACTAGAAATATATATCTTATATATTTTGATGTGATTGATTCATGCTAAAGAGATTATATGTTTGCTAAGTCATAAGTCAATAAATTCTAACCATTTAACAGTAGTCAACTGATATAATTTTGGTGATTGACTTATGTGAAGGGAGCAAATTGAGTGGCTTAAATTCTTGGCCTTGGGGCTTTGATTTGACCAATTGAAATTTCTTTGAAAATGAATGACTCTTGCCTTGGAGATATTTTAATAGTTCCATTGATGCATAGTAATTAATGATTGATGAGTTTGGTCTCATCATTTATACCAAAATTCATTTGGCAACAATCCATATATGAATTATAATGATGTTATGAATTTGAAAGTCATCCCAATATTTTTTTAATATGTATAATTTTTTTTATTATACAATAACGGGTATTCACAGATATTTTTCTAAACTTATTGTCATCTTAAAATAATATTATGAAGGTATTCTCTCACATCGACATGATACATTTAAAATTTTATTAGCACATCAAAGCTTGATTAATAAGAAAATGTAGCTCTTCTTCTTACCAACTAAACTAATCCTTATGAATATATGATTGAATTATATATTGGGCGATTCAAAATAATCTTTTCATTTTACCCACATCATTTTTATATTAAGATTCAAACTCAGAGATTTTCAAAGTGAAATTTAATACTTATCTATCTAGGTATATATATACACATTATCTCTAAGAATTTGTTGCCAACATTTATTTTTTTTTAATTTTATTTGGTTGCCATAAAACAATATAATATCACCGTTACACCCCACTCATGATTCATGTTTCCAAAGAACCAACTAAGATTTCCACTTTGATCAATTGGACTGCCCCAATCCTTATTATAATAGCCAAAATATCATTTCCCAACTTTAAAAATTTTTTTTGGCTCTCCCCAAAAGACAAGAGGTTATGGATAGAAATTGTTTAACAACCAGAAATAATTCAACCAGATTATTTTATTATATAAAAAAAGAAGCAAGATCCCCTAGTTTCTTATTTTAGTATTATCTATTAATTTATTTAATTAATGACAACATAGTCTATTATAAGTTTTTTAATTTATTATTATTCAAGTTACCCTATATTCTCATTAGAAGATAATATTTAATACAAAGTCAGAAGTCTACACATTGTTTAATCAACAAAATTTTTATATAAATCCCACTTTGTTAACTTGTCCAAATTCCAATAATCCTTACCAACTCTCTAAAGCTACATGTAATCTCATCATTTAGGCAAAAACACTAATTTCTATTTAGGGTTTTGTTTAGGGCCAATAATTTCAGTTATTATTGATATATATGAAGTTCTATAAGATATCAACAATCAAATTAATAAACATGAAAATTGTTAATGATTTTCATTCTTTTTCATAAAACACTACAAATTGTCTTGAACAAGAGCTACGCCTCAAAATTAAAATTTAAAATTTTATTTTGAAAATATCAACTTCAAATTTTAAAATGAGTAAAATAAGATTTATGAAATAGGAAAATACTATCTTTTATTACATAATTTAATATATAAAAAAAAAACCTTTCAATTTTTTTAACTTAATGACAAAGAAACTAGCCTTAAAAAAAAAAAGAAAACTTGGGTTCGAATCAAGCAAGCCATCTTTTCCTTATCCTACCAAAAAATATGTGGAAAAAATCTACTATGAAACTATTACTAGTAGTTTACTTTGATTTAAAATAAGATCAAGTTTTCAAAATGAAAGATTTGAAAGAGTTGTGCCTTAAACGACCATCTCTCTCTTCATTGACTTTGTTAGAAATATCATTGTGTTTACAAATTATACTTTCAATTTCAACCGTGAAAAAGTTTAAAATATTAAAGGTCATGAATGATATGGAGAGATGAAACAAATTTGACTAGTGGACATGTGTCTTTTCACCTAATTCAAACATCCCACCTGGTGGGGTTGACATGGATCTTGACCCTCATTCGTGAAACATTCCTTTAGCTGTATCTCATCGAATTGAATTTTTTGTCATTTAGATTGGCCCCCACCTCTGACAAACCTTGTCATATATAATCCTACAATATTTCAAGACTTGGGTTGAACGTGTTTCATTACTTGTCCTCTTTTACTTTTTTCTTTGAAAAAACTTCTGTCCTTTCTTTTCCTTGGTCGGTTTCTTTTATAATTGCTCTTTGTCCTTTGCTTCTTTGAGGTTATAAATATTTTGGAGAATAGTTGTAAAATAAGATCAGAAAGCCCTAAAGAAACGTAAAAGCCTGTTGAAAAATCAGAAGAAATAATTGATACCCTACATTTCTTTTTTCATATACCATCCATTAATTGTGTCAATATTCTTGCTTTTGACAATTTAAATGTTTTATTATTTTTTTATTTAAAAAAATTGAGCTTCGAACAATACTTTTTTAAACAAAATTATACATCATAGATCATTGAATCAAATATTCAGAGTTATACGTTTTATTAATTCATGCCATATATTATGAGGTCAAAGGCTTTTTTTTTTTTTTTTTTTTGTCTTTGACAAATAGTTGAAATGACAATTATTCAATTATTGAGATTAGCATTTTCTCTCGTTGTCTCTTCTATAAACCATACTTTTGTCATTTGGAAGACAATGAATAAGGCGAAAGAGATATCTTATCAAAAACTCTCCCCAATACCATCATTTGGCAGTTGGAACTTGGGAGGATCAGTTGTTGCTGCAAAATTACTTGGTAAAATCAACAGTCCTAGAAGATTTTTTAGGGGGGTTAGGGCACATGGGTCAACAGCATGACCTCATATTTACATCAATAAAAAGAAACCCACGTAGTTTTTCTTCTTATATAAAAGAAAGGGATTGCTATGTTATAGCTCTTTTATTATAAATAAAACTTCTGATTAAAGTTTTTGTGAAGAGTTTTAAAAGAGTAGGACCATGGGGAGCCGGGAAAAGTTAGGGGGCGTTGTTTTTTAAAGAATTCATGATGGAAATATGAAGAGGAGTGATTGGATGGACCTACTTCCTACACTTCATTTCTTCTCTTGTCATGATTGATGTTTACGGCCATCCCCATTTTTCTGGTAAGATCCACACTGATTAAGAGAAAACCTCAAAAGGAGCTGACCTTGGATTATTTAAGCTTCTTTAATTCATTGTATAAAAAAGATAATTGTACCATTTAACGGATAGTATACGTAAACATTTGATTCAATGATAAATGTAATAAATTTTTATGTTAGTTCAATGTCAAACCCTTTCACCCTAAGTAAAAAGATGATAATAAACCATATTTTGTACCAGCTCTGATATAAAAATAAAGAATTTTTTTTTGTACAAAAGAGATTGAAATCGGAAAGATAAAGAAAGAAATTATAAATATTAAAATTTGAATATTATCTCTTTAAATCTTTTATTCGAAAAGAAATTTTTTTATTATATGAACAAATTGAGTTAAATCCTTTATTTAAAAAAAATTTCTTTTAATGTTATAAATTCCAAAACTCATTCCAAGAAAATGGGTAGACCAGATAATTTAAAATACAATTTGATGACATAAAGTGAATACAATATAAAAAGAAATACGAAAATGATACTATTTAAAATTTTAACAATAATCATATATAAGTTTAACAAAAATTTTTTTTCATATTTTTGTATAGATACTAATTTTGATATATTCAAATATATAAATTTAATATTTTATATGATACAAATACACAAATCATTAGATTTAGATATGAGTCACTCAACCCAATGTATCCAAATCCAATATGCAGTCATCACTATGATGGACATTAGCCAAGAAATCAACAATGGCTACAATTAGTGGCTCAATCAGCAATGCTATGGGCTTGGAATTAGAATCTTTTATGGTTATTGTCCCATAATGGTTACAATTCTAGGCCAATTTAGCAAAGCTATGGGTTAAGGTCCATAATTTTATAGTCAGTGGCCCCAATGGTTAAAATTGTAGGTTCATTTACCAGTACTTGGGCTTATTACAGCACCTTAGGCCCATGTCTTCTTTGGACTTTAGCACACATGAAGCAATTATAGGCCCATTTTGCCATGACAATGAGCCTGTTAATCAAAGATCAAAACAAAATCTCAGAAAAAAACTAAAAATTACACTCTTTTCAGGTCAGCAATGGATCTTCTCTGCAAAGCCTACTCCAACGCTTCAGACGATGAAACGGAACCCGAACTCGAACTCGAACTCAAACTCAAATCCAAACCCGTAAACCATCACCACCTTCCTTTCCGCCCTGCGAAACGGCCCAAACCTGAATACCCATTCCCTACAGTGGATCTTCGGAAGAGAGAAGAAGCTCCGGTTCCAGGTAGATACATATCCAAGAGGGAGCGAGCACTTTCTGTTTCGGTTCCCCTGGCTGCTGAACCGAACCCGGATCACCAGGATCCTCGTTTCATCACTCAGCCAGGTACTTCTTGGTTCTAACTTCTTTTGTTTTCCAGGCTTTTAACGGCTGTTCTTTTGGTTTTTGTTTGTTTTGGGGCTTAAAATTACAGTTTTGATAATTATTTTTTTGTTGAAAAATAAGTAAAAAGAGGAAATGGGTAGTCTTGTAACTGATCAAATAGTTAGTTTTTACAATTAGAAGCTTAATTTAATTTGTTTTCTTCAATCGAATAAAGAAATATTGGATTGAATTGGTGATAACCCATTTCAGCAAAAGTTTAAAGAGAAACTCTTTGTGGCAAGAAAAAGTTAGAATTTTTCATGTAAAGGTGATTGTTGATGCTAGGCTCAATTGCCGTGCACTCCATTTTCTATTACTTGTATGATTCGATAATCTTAGTCAAAGACTAATGGCCCTTTTTTCTATTTTTTATTTTTTTATTGTTGTTGCCTATGTCGTGTGCCCATTTTCTTTTGGATGGATCTTACGTTAAGGGTCTTTCTTTTTTGGCGTTAATGATAATTCTTACTAGTATATTCTATGGCTTGGTTTAGAATTGCTTGTGTTTTCTTTGTGTACACAATTTAAAGAATGGAACTTCAAAAGGGTCAGGGAAGCAAAATGCAATTTCATATGAGCCCTTGAATGATAGAAAGAAAATTTTGACATGGTTTGTTCTGGTGATTGGCACCTCTCTCATGGAGGGTCTAGTCAAAGCAGAGAGAGAGAGAGAGAGAGAGAGAGAGAGGCGCATTGTATGAAGATAGTTGAATATCTGTATCTTTGAGTGTTTTTGGTGTCTAATCGAAGGACCAGAACAAAATTTGATATATGCCCTCAAATTATTGAAAGAACTATTCAATCAATTCCAAATATTTGGCAAGCTTATTGATTGTTATGATCATCGCTAGTTAGAGGGGAAAAAAAAAGAGAAGAAAAGCACTGGATGTTCCTTTATAAATAGAACAAAAATTCAGCTGTTCATAAAAATCATGAATCAAAGAAAATGTATTCATGTTTGGTCCCTTATCATGGTCTTGTGAAAAGTGGGGAAGTCAGAATGTATAAGACTGCTTATTGTTTACTATAGGTTTATGGAGTAATGTCAGTAACAGTAAGGGATATTATGCTAAGTTGCTTACTCATAAGCTATTTACTAATGTCCAGATGAGTTTACTATTATCATAAAAACTTGTCTCTTTGCCAGCTGACACAGTAAATTCTTGTTCGCAGTTCTGGGAAGCATTTCAGATTTGGATATACCACATTATGTTCTCTCATCAATGCAGCATAAGCCAAAGGGCATTACACAGCTAAGTCAAATTCCTGAAAAGTTGTCCATCGCTCTGCATGGCCATGCAAAAGCTGTTAATGCTGTTTGTTGGTCACCAACTCATGGTATGCTCTTATTTTTTACTGTTTACATTGTATTTTAATTTTCAGTTAAAAAGAATGCTGTATTAGTGCGTATTTTTTATTGGTACAAACTTATGAGTGCCACTTTAACTGTCTAACTCTAGTTTCGCTTCATGCATCATTCTTATGGCATGTGCCACAGGCCTTATTGATTTGTTCATTGTAGTTAGTTTACAACAGCTCATCTGCTTGCTTCTGCTGGGATGGATCAAACAATTCACATATGGAATGTATGGAGCAGAGATCAAAAGAAAGCTCGTGTGTTTAGCTTTCATAACGCAGCTGTGAAAGACGTTAAGTGGTCAAAGCTGGGGTTATTTGTGCTTTCTTGTGGATATGACTGTTCATCAAGGTTGATTGATGTTGAAAAGGGACTTGAAACACAGAATTTTAAAGAGGATCAAGTTGTTGGAGTTATCAAATTCAATCCAGATAACTCAAACCTATTCCTTTCTGGGGGATCAAAGGGCAGACTCAGATTGTGGGATGTTAGAACTGGCAAGGTGGTGCATGAATACGTTCGAGGTCTGGGTCCAATTCTTGATGTTGAATTCATTAATGATGGGAAGCAATTTGTATCTTCCAGTGATGTTTCTGGGGGTAATGTCAGTGAAAATTCTATTATTGTTTGGGACATCTCAAGACAGGTGCCACTGTCTAATCAGGTTAGAGACGCCTTTCAATATCATTTAGTCTCCATCTCCAGGATTTTTATGGTAGAGCTAGTTCCACCTCATATTACCTCCTCTTAGTCTCATTTACAATTCTTCTTTCTTTGTACTTGTAGATGGTTAGCATATGGCCACCCTCCGACCTAAATATATTGCCTTTTGCTATAATGCATTTTTAGCATGGCTTCTTATTTTGGTGCTTAACAAATCACAAACCACAATGAGTAGATATTTTAAAGTATATTCTAAATCAGTTTTATTTGCATGGAAATGAAACACAATTCTTCCATGTTAACTTTTATTTCATCTCACAATCAATTTCGTTTTTGTTTTTATTTAAAACTGTATGTAGTATGTAGGTATAGTCATGACATAATTCTCTACTAGTATCTAATTAGCAAAACTTATGTTATTGAACCTTAATTAGAGATTTTCAACAATCTTTTAAAAAGGAGTCGCACAACAAGTGGTGATGCATACTTATCTATTACTGTGTGGTCAAGTTATTGGATCCTACTATTTTAGGAATTGTCATTTCAGCATGTATTTGTATTAGTATATTATACCTTTATTCCATTCCCTTTCCTTCGTGTCTCAAACTGCCTTGTTTCTATTTGTGACCATTGCTTTAAGGACAACAGTGAATGCATCCTCTATCTCAGTCAAGGGGAGTAATAGCCTTTATGTCTGGTATGCTTTGCCCTAAGCGTGAACCTATATGACACTTCTAGTTTGGCTTTTTCAGTCTTTAAGAACAAATCACAAAGGCCTAATGACTATAATTTGGGGTTGGGGGTACATTGTCTATCAAATAAAAAGAAAGAATTCTAGTTTAGCAAGAGTTTTCCTTAAGCTATTGAGCAGAGATGCTGAGCTGCGTCATAGAAAACCTATGTACAAACTTTAAATTAGTTGCTTTACAAACCTTAACATGTGAACCATTGGCTTGTTTGTTGACTTGGCACTCAGCTTTGCTCTTCAAGTTGGTCGTTCTTAGGAGAGTTGTTTGAATACTGTCTCTTGAGTTAAATCAACTTAAGTCAGGTTTAATTAGTTGCATGACTTTGGAATTTGACATTAGTCCTGTAATTAAAACACACATGCATGCACAAAATTATTGCATTTTTTTTTTTTTGGTATGGAAGAGAAAAGATGCATAATCAATCAGCCATGTTAAAATACTATGTCCTCTGTGTAAGATTGATGAACCATTGGACTAAAGTCGTGTTCTTCAGTTTCTCTCATCACTTCTATTACCCTTTCAAATATAAAAGGAGATGTACAAAATATCCATAGTTAGCCATTTGTTATCGACATGCCCTAATCATATCTTTTTCATTGGCCTTTTCACATGGATATTCGAATTCAAGACAAGCATGATAAGATATTTGGACAAAGTTTTGACAACTTTTATTGTTCTGGTATATATTCTACGGTAATGCAATTCATGTTTTCTCTGTGCCAGGTTTATGCAGAAGCCTACACTTGTCCTTGTGTGAGGTACCATCCATTTGATCCCTATTTTGTGGCTCAATCAAATGGAAATTATATTGCCATTTTCTCTTCAAGTCCCCCCTTCAAGCTAGACAAGTATAAAAGGTATGAAAGTCATGCAGTGTCTGGATTTCCAGTTAAGTGCAATTTCAGCTTGGATGGGGACAAGCTTGTGTCTGGTTCCTCAGACGGTTCGATGTACTTCTATAACTCCCGATCGTCGGTGCTCGTCAAGAAAATCAAGGCATATGAGCAGGCCTGTGTTGATGTCGTTTTCCATCCCATCTTGTCTAATGTAATTGCTTCATGCAGTTGGAATGGAGATGTTTCAGTGTTCGAGTGAAGACAGCGTATTTATCCTTAATCTTAGGACAAGCAAAGGAATCTTGAACATACAAAGATGTATAAAACAACGTATTACTCTTCTTACTTAATTTGTGTGGGAAAGCACAAGAGAAACAGAATTAAAACCATTGACAATCACAAGATCTCAGTCTTCTATTAACTCTTTTGTTAGTTCTTTCTAACATAATATAGCAGGTGTTTTTTTTTTTTTGGTTTTTTCCCTGTAAACCTTAACCAAGAAACCTGGCCTTAAATGAAAAGTTGTCCATACTCACTTAAGTCTGTTCAGATTTCAATTATTTTTTTCAAATAAAAATAATTCTTATAATAAGTATTAATTATGACAAAATAAATAATCAATAAAATAAAATTTAAAAAGATGATTGTTAATTTAATTTGGTGTTTGAGTGGGATTTGGTATATTTAAGTATAGTGTACTAATGTGTACACATTTTATTTAATTAATTATTTATTTTTATGTAACATAATTATAAATATAAAAATAATATAAATAACTATCACATTAAGTCTAAAACTTAAATGTTATGTTCAAATCTTGACCTATTTCCTACGTGAGCCTTCAATTTAAATTTAATCGCATTTAATAAGTCTAATATTCTTAAATATTTTCGGACAAACTACAGCTATCCAGCCACAATACTTTCTAAAGCAGTGAGATCTCAATCTCATTCTCCACTAGTTATTCATGCAGGCAATAGTGAAACAGAGTTAGTACTTTATTATGTGTGATTTCTGTTACAACTCACAAGTAAATAATCGAAGACTCTAATACATAAAGACAATAATAAACATTATATGATGAGAGAAAAAAAATCAACAAATTGCAGGAGAGACATTGAATTATTTAGAGACGAATTTGTCAATAAGGTCTAAGGATGGACCAATACCAAATGATGTTTTCAGTTTTCTGTAATGAAACAAAGCTGTACTGTTTTCAATTCAAAGTTCTTATCAAAATTTAAAGCCAATTTTTTTGGTTAAAACTTGATTGGTAAACTGAATATTTTTCAATAAAAGGAAAGAGTATTACAGCTTGAACAAAGGGTTTTCAATTTTTTTTTTCTGTTAAAGAAAAAAAAAAAGGCAAAAAGAAAGAGAAAGATGGAAAGAAAAAGTAGTTAAGCTAGCTGTATGTGCTTTGTGTTCATGCACCTCCTTCCATGACAAAGAAAGGGGAGAATAAATACAGGGAACAGAAGAGAAGAGATAGACCTATTAATTTTAAATACAAATAGAAGATATAATCTGAAAATAATATAAAAAATATATGAAAATATTACGGTTTAAATTTTAAAAAATTGTATAATTTTAACAAAATAAAAAAAAATATTTTATATTTGACATGTCAATACATTATAATTTTTTTATTTTATACGTGTTTAACAAATAATAAATATGATGTGAATGTATAAATTAATGTATAAAAATTGGATAAAAACCAATTCAAGGACAATTATTTTCAACCCCCTTTCCAAATTATTCGCGGGGTCAATTGCGAATACGGATACCAAACACACCACTCCCTTTCAACACCATCTTTAAAAAATGCAAGAAGTCGAAAAAGAAAAAAATGTATAAACAAATAAAAAAAAAAAAAAATCCCCCCTCCAAAAAATAATGAGAAAGCCCTAACATGCTTATATCTACTTTTTCCCAAGCACTCTATAGAAAATCCAACATTTCTTCCTAAACATGTATAGGGCACAAATCCCTCGTAACATTGTGCTACATGACACCAACAGACGTTGTCTCACGTAGCAAATAAAGTTTTTTTTTTTTTTTTGATTGGTTGAGTTTGAATTCGTTAAAAGATTGTGAAAAAATAATTTTTTAGAAATTCATGAAATTATGATAAATAAATTTATTTAAATTAATTCTAAAAAATATATATTAAATAAAATTCAAGAATTGTTTACCGCTTTAAAAAAAAATGTGTCAATTGGGAAAAATACCCATATTATAATCCATGCTAAAATTTTTCGATATCCCATTTAATTATGTGAGCAGCACAGCCATGTAGCCTATGCCCCTATTACAAATGACTTCAATCATTACCTAAAACAGATTCACTTTTATTTTTGCTCCATGCGTACTTGTGGGCAAGCGGGTGTTCGCTCGTAAAGGGACCCGTTGGCTAGCCTGGCCTGAGACAGGAAACGATGGGCTTAAAGGTTTTACCTAAGCAAATTGATCTCACTAGGATTGGACATGAATTCCCCTGCCTGTCTCTCCCTCTCTCCAATATTTGTCTATATCAACTCAATTCATGAATAATTCTGATTTGATCAACGAGAATTGATTTTTTTGACAATTAATAAAACATAAAAAGTTTTGCATTGAAAAGTAAATTTATAAATATATTTGACAGTTTTAATCATGAGATAATAATACGATATGAAAACGGTAAAAAATAAAAAATAATATAATATAATTTTAAATTTTAATAAAAATTATATATAAAATTGATAAAAATAAAAAAATATATTTCATATTCAATATGTCAACGTGATTATAATATGATATTTTTTATATTTTATATATATCTAATATGAAATAAATAAATATAAATACATAAGTCGTAGGCCTTTCTAAGTAATATTAAAACCAACGTTTAAGGATGAAGAATTGTTGCTTTAGAATCATAAAACATTGGAAAAGAAAAAAACATGGTCGATTAGTCTTAATCATGATCCATGATCTTTTATTATATGAAATTAAGGTTATGAATTTATTTTTTTTATAATTAGAAATTTAGTGCTATAAATTATTTAATTTTTTGTTAAAAATTTTTAGTTGGATGATTTAATTTGTACAAAATGTTTAGATTTATTTTGATGAGTTGAATGAAAAATCTTTGACAAAATTATTTCAAAACTTCTGTCAATTGTGCATTATTCATCCATTTTTAAGATTTAATGGACATAATTAAAATAAAAAAAATATTTTAATTTTAATTTTAATTTCACACAATAAAAAATCGATGACTTATTTGTATTTTTAATAAAATTTGAAAGTTTATGTGAGTATTAAAACTTTTTTTTTTTTTCCATTTTGTAGTATGCACCACAAACATGATTATAATCCTATAGGCCCTGAATTAAATAAGAATTCTCTATAGTAATCATATTACTGCAAAGCTTTTGAACAAGATTTTGAATCAATGTCACTAGTTGACACCATAAATGTCTAGAACCTGAGTCCAGCTAGAACCCAAGTTGCTTTAGAATTGGTATATATGTATGGAATTGGCACATAACATCAAGGAGGAAAGAACATCTAACATCAAGGACAAGCAAGCAAAGGTTGCTATACCTGACTGAAACAAAGCATAAAAGGATTTTATATCGCTACAAATGCATAAGGATAGTCTGACAGCTAGAAAATCCACTCTAAAGGTTTTGAGCTCTATTCACATCTGATTTGCTAAGGCCGTTAGCAAGATCATTTGCCTCCTGCGGTATATGAAAATTTAACATGTTTCAGACTAACCATAATGTAATCCTAATCGTTTAGGGCAGTGACACAATAATTGGGGAGCGCTCTGATGCTAGTCACTAGTTCATATACAACACTAATGATTCTGGATTCTTCTACCATATGTATATTACGGATGCATGAACAGCGTTCCCTAATTTTTGACCGACAAAAGTGCATAAACAGTAAGTGGATAAAGATTACCACTATCCCATTTGTTAAGAAAAAGTGTAAAGTAACCCAGGTTAAACACCTCACTGCTCTAATGGGTATCACTAACCATGAAAGTGAAAAATACAAAAGTCACCCTCTCCCAAAAGGGTAAAGTTATCATTAAAACAATTTTTTTTTATGTGACAAGGACTTGACTTCCTCATGCCAATATTTTCGATTAGATCCACCTTTTTTTAAGTACTGAGAGCGTAAATTTTTTATACAGATATTGTATTAAATACAAACTTACTATTATTAGGTTTAATTTGTATTATTCTGTCAATATATTAAATTGATCATTTCAACAGTAAAAATCATGTGATGATGTCAAATTTTTTTTTTTTTTTTGCATGTAGCTGTGTGATTGTGGGGGTTTGATAGTTTCTTCTGGAGGGTGAAAACTCAATGGCGATTTTCACTTTTGTAGTATAATGGTGTTGTGAGTCATTGATCTTGTGGTTGTGCATGTGGAGAACATGGCTTCATCATGTTATCCATAAAGTACTGCCTTTTGGGATCGTAAGGACATGTCCCGATCTTGGTACTAATGCCATTTCCAATTTTCATCTTCCCACATATGATGACGGGTTTTCGCCATTGTCGGCAGGCTACCTGTGTCGGTAAGAGAGGTCATCCATGTTTATGAATTGTGAGCAAAATAAGCAAAGAAAAAGAAGAAAATGATACAAAGAGCACTAAAAAGATGAAAACATGAAGTCATGTCATTTGACCTTATCATGCATGAAGTTGTTTCCCAATCCATCAATCGTTTAGGGAATAAACATTTAAAGGAGATGTACTTATGGTTCCCTAAGGAAATTCCAATAGGGTTATGTTAATTCATTGAATTTCATATTCCAAATGTCATTCATCGCCAATGATCCGATGACCTAATTGCTCTTCTTTCTTTGTAAAGTGCAAAAGTAAAAAATTTGAAATGATGTCGCGTGTATAGATTATAATGTCTAATAGGACAAGATAAGATTAACGAACTTCTATGATTTCACCTAATTATTGTTATCTCTATGAAAAGATGGTTAATATCCAAGGTTCAACTCCCTCTCTTTCCTTATTGATTTTGTCCAAATGTGAAAAAAAAAGGGAGATTAATAATTACTTCATCATACATTAATTAAGAATATTCGCAATAAATTTTCGATACTAAGGACGATGTAATTAAAAAATAAAAATAAAAATTACATGTATTAAAATTTGATAACTAACGATTTATTGAGTATTACATTTTAAAAATGATTATATAAATTAATTAAATAAATTTCAAATTCATATATATTGACAATAAATTTTACTTGACTAAATAAAAAGAAGCAAAAATGATAGCTACAAAACTAGAAATGATAGGAGAATTTTCACTTTACCACATTCACAAGCTCCACGCTATTTCTGTATTTTCACTTACCACATTCACGAACTCCAATTCCAAAAAGCCTTTCAATAATTTCTCAATTTACGGTCCAATAGAGTGTGTCTTTTTTTTTGCTAC